TATATATATATATATATATATATATATATATATATATATATATACATATATCAGAAATACTATATATTTACTCACCTATAAATTTCCTTCATAGCTGCGCACACTATTTTTACCGGTAAAAATTTAGCTATTTTATAACCGATGTCAAATGGTGTATAAAAGATCATATACCTGTAAAACATTATAATTATGCCGCATCTAATTTTTTTAATATCAACATAATCATAAAAAAGAGAGTGAATAAATGTAATATAAATTAAATACAATAAAATTACCAAACGACGGTTGCAACTACTACTTGTGGTGTATTTTTTAATGGTGCAAGAATTGGTTCTCCTAATAATCCGTTGCATAACATTCCACTTGCAAAAACAACCAACATTGTAGACAGCCAACATGACAAAGGATGCTTTCGAGAAAAAGCTTGCGCACCTAAATAAAAGACAAAGTATTATATATATGTGTGCTTGAGAGTGAGGTGAGTATCCACACAGCAGAGGTGTCCAAAATATATCATAGAGACATCCTAAAAATATATTTGGGATATGTGATATCTTCAAGATATCCCTATAACGATTTGGGACATTCCTGCTGTGTGGGTATTATGATTCATTACCTTTAAAAATTTAACTATATGTGTATACAAGTAAATATTTAAGTACATTGTAATGTATATCTTGACAATAAAAAAGAACATAATTCATAATAAAAAAATATATTAAATGAAAACATTAATTTCTAAAATTATTTAGCCATGATTTGAAATTAATTGTTTCAGACATACAATATTTTGTGATATTGAAAATATTTAATATTTTATATAAATTAATTATTATTAATTAACAGCGTACGCACGCACGCATACACACACATACACAGAGAAAGAGAGAGAGAGAGAGAGAGAGAGAGAGAGAGAAAGAAAGAAAAAAAACGGGAGAAAATTCTTACATATATAATAATATAATACATGTATATAAACTTAGAGATGTTATCAGTTTCCGTATTACAAGAATTTGTCTTGTAATAAGAAATTATTATTTTGGAGATATTAATTATTATAAATCAATATTAAAAAAATATAATTTGGGAAACTTAATTTAAAAATTAAGAGAAGTATAAACTTTTACTTTTTGTATATCAGTATAAGAAACCAATTATACTTGACTAATATTAAAATAATTAATATTATGAAACCTGATTATATTTAATCGTAAATTGATTATAATTTTATTTGTATTATAAGTACGCGAAAATTTGTTTTTATATGTATAGTATATATGTAATTTTAATATATATATATATATATATATATATATATATATATATATATATATATATATATATATATAT